GTCTCATGAAGTCACTGGCACAGAGAATTATCTCAAATGAATGAGTACTGTAGACCTGGCAAAAATATGTGCTACTAGAGGGAATGGGAGGGGACACAATTGTCACACAAATCACTTACTCTCTGCCACATGTCCTATATGCAATGAATATTATATCCTCATATTCCAATCATTTATTTGCAAACCTTGATGTTAGCAAGAGCATAATTGTCACTTGTCCAACTCCACAAGCCTTTCCCCAAACTTAGGCATTTTCAAGGGAGTTCAACTGTATCAAAATGATAGGTGGAGCAACAACCAGGTGCAGAGAAGTAGATCTGTCAGATACATCATGCCCCATAGCCCATCTCCACTGCATCCCTCTGCCTGAGCCCAGATACCTTCCCTCTTGGGTTTCTGGTTACCATAATCACTGGTGATACCATGAGCATCAATAAATGGTGACATCATGAGGCCCAGTATTGTCATTTTGACCTAGGATCTGATTCCCTCTCAGTCCTTTCCAGGTTCTGCTGAATTGGGCAAACACACGGTGAACATACATGAGGCAAATTCTGTTTCCCTACAAATGTAGATCTAGGGCAATTTTACCTTTCTGGATGTTAGAGGACATAAATGTCATGGCTCCCTCATTCCTAGTGGAATCTAGCTTCACCCTGTGGGATGCCCCTTTTACCTGGGCTCCTGTGGACTCAGTACTACTCCTTCCCTGGGGCCTTTAAGCACAATCACCACCTGTCTCCAATCTGTATTTCTGGATTTCCGTCTCTTCATACTCAGAACCATCCCCAAAGCACCCTAGGGTTTATAATCCCAGCCATGTTCTCAAAGCATCGTGATCTTGTTTTCTCAGGGGCTCAGCAAATGTGAGTTTCATGCTCATTTGCTATAGAAATATTGTAGGTCTGGGAGTGAACTATGACTATGAACAGTGGTATCCTCTGCCCTGAGCTTTTCAGGGTTCTTCCTGGGAGGCTATTAGAGTAGTCAGTGCCCTGGAGGAGACCCGTTGTCTGCAAGACCACGGGGCCATTCAGCAGCCCAGACCGGGGCTTAGAAATGGCATTTGGAGGTAGTGATGTCTAAAGTGCGACCTAAGGAATGTGTAGTTTTGATTCAGATGAGGAAGCAAGGGGATGAAAGATTTCTGGGTAGAGATGATAGTGAGTGCGAAGGATCAGGGAAAGTGTGGGGCCACTTTGTTTAGGGACCAGGTTGAGTTCACTGAGCTTGGCCAGTTGGAAGTGGTTGAGGGAGTACTGGGCATGAAGGCACACAGGAAGAGCCCAAGGTCATGCATGACAGTGAAGGGCACTTGGAGGGTTTCTTTCTAGACTGTGGGAGATCCTAAATATTTTCAAATGGGTCTTAATGTAGAAGTGTAATGGTTGAATGATAGCAAGGCCTCCACCAACTTGGAAGATATACTTCCAGTATTCCAAAGTGTTGGTTTGGTTTTAAGCATGCATATGTAGCCACTTTCCTGTGTGTACACAGTTCTCTGTAGCTGGTGGGAAGAGACTAAATTGTAGAGGTTTGGCAGAGATCCAGGGTGTTTTGTCATAGGTGTGAGTTTCTCAAATGTGGTTTGTAATCAGATTTGTGACTGACTCCAGAGGTTGAATGAGCACTGTTCCCTATTGCACAGAGGGAGTGAGGGAGCAAGCTGTGTTTATCCAGTACAGTTCTGACTCAAATGTGTGGGCTCTTTCTATACCAACAGTCTGAAGAGATCCACAGTGGACTGTATCCAAAAATTCCACTGAATTCTGAAAGTACCTCTCATTGGTGTCACATGCTAAAGGTTTATGGACTCAGTCCCCAAGACCACACTGGCATCAGATGGCAGTCAAAGCATTGTGTATTGAGAGTACACACATTTCTGTACAACATGGGTACATTGTCACACTTTCACAATCCTACCCCTTCATGTTTGCTAATTGCTAAAATCAGTAGTGAGACTCAGGCAATACTTAATCAGCAGTTTATGAAAAAAAGATAACAGCTCCATGGAACAGGAGCATAGGACAAGGCAATGTAAAGGCCTTGCATGTCTCACCTGGAGGTCCCAATTTTCCAACACTTCTATGTATTCACCATCCTTGAAGGAAAGTAAGATCGTCCTCATTTCATATGCAAAGAATTAGATTCGGCTTTCTCATCTCATTTCACCCATCAATGTTGCAGTCAAGTGGTTGAATAAATTGGAGTCAGGGGCTCAGGTTAGAGGCCAGTGATTCCTGGCTGAGGCCCATCTTTAGTCTGCAAAGGGAGGACCATGAAGTCCCCTTGGTGCTTCCCAGACAGCTGGCTGTCTTTCCTTCATGTGGCCTCCATGTGATCAGAAGGAGGACAGGAGTGACAGTGGGAAGCTGTGGAGAGCAGGAAACTCCCAAGCAGATGCATTTGGAGGTTCTGATCTTTGAGATGGATCCTGGTTGTCATGAAACTGTTTTCTGGACATTGTTTTGGTGTTTCCATGGTTAGAGGTGCTCTGATCAATCTAAATTGAGTAGGTTCAGATAATCTATAAAGGTAGACCTTGGAGAAGGTTTCATTCATGTATTGCCCTGGAAGAAAGAGTTCATGAATTTGACAGTTTACCTTGGTGAGACCTTAAGTGACTTCAAGTGAAGCTTCCTTCTGGAGACTTTTAAGATTTTGAAGGACACTGGAAGGAGTGCATGCACCAAGACATCCAGAGTGATATTCTTAGGGGTCCTTGCCTCAGCCCAGGAATGGATTACTCTGGTGCTGTAGGTCTGAAGTACTGGGGATTGAATTCAGGGCCTCGTGCTTGCAAGGCAGGTGCTGTACCACTTGAGCTACTTGAGTTTAATCTTCTCAATTAAACTAGAATTTTTTTCCAGTTTTTGTTTTGACTAGGCTGCAGAGGCTGCCTGTGTGAGCTGGTTCCAATGTTTACTTTTCTTCCTCTGGATTCCTTTGTAGGATATTGCTGCCATATAACTAGTTTTTCCCCATGCATTGGGTAATTAAAGTCCCTTGTTGCTATTTTTCTTTCCTTGGCTGAAAATAGGTAATCATTAGAAAATGTGCTGACAAAGCCTTGTCCATGAAGCCACTGCCTCATGTCCCATTTCTCAGTGTGATACCAGACCTTTCCTCTTGTTCCAGTGGGGCCTGACCTGGCTTGGCTTGCCTTTGTTGCCGTTGCCAAGGATGTCTTCATTGGCCAGAGTCTGAAATTCCCCCTCGTGCCTCCACTTCCAGCACAGTTCAGAAAGATCAGGAGGCCGTTCTGGAGAGCCAGGAGGAAGGTCGGCTTCAATGCACTTTTCCCCCAGGTGTGGCCAGGTCCAGGCCTATAAGGAAGCCCAGGAGGAGCTGTGGATAAATTGTGTCTTTCTGCCTCCTCTCCAGGTAGGCATCTCTCTCCTCTTGTCACTCAGCTTGAGCACTTGCCAATCAGGGCCACTGGAGCTGTCCAGTCAGGAGCCCTGGCTGAGATAGGTTCAGGAGATTCCTTTCTGCCTTGCTAGTTGTACAGCTGACTTGGCATTTGTGAGTTGTCTGGTGGCTCAGTTTCTGTCACTTTGTGACCACTGACTTCAGGAGCAGGATGGGATCCCCGTCTCCCAATCCCTGAACGCATAGATTTGATGTTGGGAGCTGTGTCTCCACCATGATCTGGTTCTGAGCTGGGCTTCTGAGAACGGGCAAGCAATACCTCAATTCCGGGGACACCCGGCGGTATCCCCCATGGGACATATTTGATGACAGAGTGGAAGGGGAGGTTCAGGTCTTTGACATAATTAGTGTTGTCCTTGGACTGTGTGTAGACAGCGTTTACAAATGAAATGCAGATGGAGGCAGGACCTGAGCTTATTGAAGAGGCTGAATAGCCCCAAGTGCAAGGTCAAGGGTGTCAAGGGTGAGGCTGATTAGGGCTGTGCTGTCTAAGGAGGATTAAACAAGAGGAGAGGAGGGCAACGAGGGACATCATCAGCTCCGGGGACAGATGAAGTGTCCCTGAGTCACCTGTCTTTATGGTGACAGTAAAGGTGGCATCTTTTTCTAGCTCGTGCTATGTGTGGACAGAGATCAGAGATCAGAAGGGAGGACAGGAACATTTTCTCAGCCTGTGCCCAGTTTTCTCTTAGATTTAAAGGTTGAAGGGCAGGACAAATCATCCAAGTAAAGTGAGAAGGTGTTTCCTTGCACAATGACAGGACTCGATTCCTTTGCTTTCTCTTGTTGGTACTTACCAGGAGTGCAGGGTTGGGTAAAATTGAACCGCTTTTACATTCATAGAGTTGGTGGAGTCATAATGCAAGTTGTGCCCATTGAGAAAGTGTGAAGGTCAGACCCAGAAGGGCACCTTTGGATGATGCCTGGAGAACAATGGTTTATGAATTTCATCATTTCTATAAGTTTTGTATAAAGGAAATACATTTATGCCTTTGGCCTCTGATTTCTTAGTCAGTGAGCTTCCTTTCTGCCACCATTGTTGTGTCCCTAACCTGACAGTTGTGAAATGTTCAATGGCTCACATTCTGCCAGGAGCAGGTGTGGGACAGCAGGACACCCCGGCAGCCAAGAATGGTGAGCATTGAAGGTGGATTTGTGAGCTGGGGCAGGCAGGGCTGTTGAGAGTGGCTGGAGGCAGCTGTGGAGCAACAGGGCCGCCAGCCTGAGCCCAGTCAGCGCTGAGCAGAGTCCCCTTGTCCCCTTGTTCCACGGGCGAGGCCGCCACCAGGACCCAACTTCCTGTCCCCGCTGGAGCCCCTTTGTCCCTCCGCGCCCACAGCTCCGAGTTTCCTGATGTTGGATTCACATCTCCACTGCAAACTGGACCTAAGTCCAGTCTTCTGAGAGCCAGTGGGAAATACCTCAGTTCTGGGGACATCCACCATGGCCTTCATGTGAAAGGGACCTAGGGGACATGTTGGGTGTATGTGAAGGGGAATCGGGTCCCTCTGACATGGTTGGTGTCGTCCTTGGCCTGTGTGCACACAGTGTTTACAAATGAAACGCTGATGGCGGCAGGACCTGAGCTAATTGCAGAGGTGGGACAGCCCCAAGTGCATGGGCCTTGCTTTCTAGGGAGGAGCAAAGAGGAAGAGAAAGGAGGAGAGGAGAGTGATGGAGGGGCAGCATCAGCTCCTGGGACAGGGAACGTGTCCCTGAGGTCACCTGTCCTTAGGATGACAATAAAGGAGGGCTCATATGCTGGCTTAGGCTGGGGTGGTCAAAGATGAGAGGCCTGAAAGGAGAGAAAGTTCAGGAAAGTTTTTATTAAGAGTTCTGTTTCTGCTGATCAATTGAAGTAATGCTTTTGATGCAGAAAGTGGGTATTTGAAAAGTATGTCCTTAATGCAGGTTAAAAAAAGTGGTCTTCCCCTGAGTTCCCAGGCAGGTGTTTTCTTGCTCTTGGTGCTTCCCCAAAACAGAAAGCTTTGTGAAGAGGGAATTCTTTAACCATTGCTGTTTAAATATGATTCCAGCGCTTGAGTAAAACTCAGTATTTTCAGCTGTTGTTTTGCATGCAGGTGGTTGTTCTGGACAGCATGTCATTTGTGCCAAGTGACAAATCCTTAAGGACAGACAGAAATATTCACTATCAGGTTAAGTGAGCTGGAGAAACTGTTTATGGTTTGGAGGCTTCATGTTGGTGTAGAGTGTCATAAAAATTTTGTTTTGTCTTTGTCCAGTTTTAGCACAGAGAACATTAACGTCTTGGAATTCCCTAGCAATAGAAATGTCTGTGTTTATATGTGTCTTTGTTTATAAGGCAATATCTGAATTTATGAAAATGTAGTCACTCAGGGTGCCACCCCAGATTACTTTGAGATCAGGGAATGGTGAACAGGCTTGAAGAAGTACATGTTTGGCCTGCCTCCTGCAGTGGGGACAGTATGGTTGAATGGAGCACTGAACTTGTGGGATCTCTGCTAACTCTGGGACAGGAGGCTTGAATTGTGTTTGAGAATTGGTTGGCATGCAGTAAAAAGCATACATTAGGTGTCAGAAGTGACACCTATGGGAGAGTGTTCATGTACAGATCTGACTCTGTGTAGGAGGAGCATTTTCTTGCTGGGAGGAGGGGAAAGGAGGATGTTGGAAAGTCTCAGAGTGAAATATTGGGGCTGGTCATATTGTCCTCTGTCACCCCTGGAAATAGGCCACCATGGGCTGCCTTTGCACAGTGACAGGTGATCTCTAATCTTAGGAACCCTGTTTAACTTTCTGAATGTGTGTCCCTTATCAACTGTGGGTGAATCAGGCTGCTTCTGTGTGTCGTTTCCCTCTAGTTCCTTTCTATAGTCTTGTTTCTGCAAAATAGAAGTTTCTTTCTTCTTTTAACATTTTTTGGTACCTGGCTTGGTGGTGCCCACCTATAGTCCAGGACAATAGAGGTTGAGGCAAGATGATTTCAATTTCCAGGCCACCCTGGGAGATTTATAAAGACCTTGTTTACAAAAACAATAATAATTTTCTTGATAACTTGGGTGTAAGATGGAGAATTTCTTGCTTGGAATCTTATTGAATAGAATGAAGAGGTCGATAGAAACAGAACATTCGAAAAAAATTCTTTAATTCTAAATTTAAATGAAAATATAAACACAATAGGGTCACATGCAGATGAATATGTAGGCCACAGTGACATGGTGGGTGTGTTCTCTCTTCCTGCTGTGCACCCAGAGGTTACAAAGGATGGGTTATTGAACATGGTTTATTCTTTTACCCTGTGTCTGTCACAGAGTTTTACTTGGTTTGCCTATTGAGTTTTGAGACTTAATACTACCATACATGTAATGTTAGGTTCTGCAGAAAGGTTTTGCTTGTGCTGTCATTGATTTATAATTGCACATATAATGGTGTCTGAGGCTGTGCTTACATGGATCATTTCACTGTCCCAGGTAGTTTGATTGCTTCAACTTATTTTTGTTGGGGTGTGTGTGTGCGTGCGCACATGTGCATGCTTGATGATGTCGGCAATGTTATTCTTGATTTTTATACCTAAATGGTAATGCCTAATAGATTTTTATTACAGAGGGGAAAATGCTCTTGTGTAGGCAATGGGCAAAATCAAATTTAGTATAGAAACTGAAAGTATATGTATTTATCATCTTACCATTCATGAATGTGTGTATCACGTGACTCGCCAACACTTGAAGTGATATATTTTTGTGTTATTAGACAGCATTTCTATAAAATATGTCTTCCTTATATTGGTCACATCTGGCATTGTTCAGGTTTCCCAGGTGGCCTTACATTTTATATGAAACATAATCCCCCTCCCATTTGTATCCCCATGTTTTTGCCATATGAATGGCGCTTTTCTTTTAATATCAAGTCCACTTATTCATGTGTAAGAACTAAGAAGTTTTGACCAAATAACAAGAATAATAAAAATTAAAACTATCTAAATAATGAAAGCACAGTTGTGACAAGATGTTTAAATAAAGCCAAACAGCAGTGGCTTATGCCTGCAATCACTGAGGAGGCAGTCATCAGGAGGATTGTGATTTGTAGCCAGCCTGGGCAAATAATTTTTTGAGATCCTTGCTCCAAAATGCCCAACACAATTAAAACTATATTTGGAGTAGATCAAGTAGGAGAGTACCTGCCTAGCAAGCAAAAGACCTGAGTTCAAACCCCAGCATCAAAAGAGAAAAGCTGTGTTAACTATTATTACACCAGCTCATTAGAGGATCATTGTCCAGTGTGTATTTTGTGGGTCAATCAGTTGGGCTCACTCTATTGAGCAAGTTAGAAACTTACAAGCCTTTCAGAGTTAAACAAGTAGCATATTACTCACAGAAACTCTTTGGAACACTGCACCCTCTTGTCAAGCTGATGACATCCATCCCTATGTAGATCCAATATACTGGCAAAGGTCAAACATTGTTCTCAGGCATTAGTAAGAACATGCCATCTCTGGGCGGCTGGTGGTTATGCTCTTGTGCTCACTATGTAGCGGGACTTTATCATGAGAGATGCTATAGACCAAGTGTACAGAGGTTGGGGTGATTCTATTCTGCTGTTGTTTTACCTCAGAGTTCTCAAGTAGTAACAGAATTGCTGTGAGACAGGGTGTGAGTATGGATGGAGGTGAAGATTGGAGAGAGAAGGACATGGAGTGACCCCATAAGGAGAACCACATTAAGTGGTCTGCTCATGAACAGAATGTAGATTTCCAGTGCTGTGACTCTCATTCTTCCTCCTGGAAATCTGTGTGATGTTTCAGGAGCCAGTGACCTTTGAGGATGTGACTATGAACTTCACCGTGGAGGAGTGGGCCTTGCTGGATCCTTCACAGAAGACTCTCTACAGAGATGTGATGTGGGAAACTTTGAGGAACCTGGATGCTGTAGGTAAGGGTGACAGTGTTTCTTTAATGAGTCAGCGAGAGAACCAGTGATTTGTGGGCATCTGTGCTGTTCCATAGTTTGGCATGTAGAAGGGAAAATTGGGTTGGGCATGATGTTCCAAGCCTCTACTTGCTACTTGTGAGGTAGAGATCAGGAGGATTACAGTTTGAGCTTGGCCTGAGCAAAAGTTCTCTAGACCCCATATGTACCAATGAATGGACACGGTGGTGTGCTCCTGTCATCCCAGATATAAGGGGGAAGCATAAATAGAAGTATTTCCATCCACCCCACACATAAAATCAAAAACAATTAACAAAAAGTCCTGGCAGAGTGGATCAAGTAGTAGAGCTCCTGCATACCATGCCCAAAGCCCTGAGTGTAACCACCATATCAGTTAAAAAAAAATAAAAAGAACAAGAAAAGTAAATAAAATTTGGTGAACCTACAAGCATGGTCTCATTATACAATGGTAATCTGCCTATAATTGATAGAACTTCAATAATGATTTTTTTTCTGTTCTCATTTTAGGGAAAAAAGAGAAAGACAAAAACATTGAATGTGACTACCAAAGCTGCAGGGAAAATCTAAGGTAGTTTGTACTCAGCAAAATAAAGCAGTGTGTCCACAGTATACTGCAGTGCCAAGAAATTTTAAAAGCAAGTCAATGATATAAAAAGTTCAGCTTCAAAATTGATTTAATCTCAGAAGATTTTCCCTCAAACTACATACAGGTTAACCATATATTACAGAAATAATCAAAATCTGAACTGTTCTACTATTGAAAACTGATTGTATGCCACACATCTCTTGGTTCAGTGTACACAAATTTTGTTACATTCTAAAAATTATGGAAGTATGACTTTACTTTCAGAGTTTGCATATAAAGTGTGTGTGATACAAAATTGAATTTTGCAGCTGGGCACCAGGGCTCAAGCCAGTCTTACTCTTTGGGAGCTAGAGATAGCACTGCTCTCTGAGGTCAGCCTGGACAATAATTTCTGTGATCTCCCTGTCTCAAGCAGAGGCTCTGCACATGGCTCACATATGCATTCCAGGAAAGCACAAAGAAGAGCACTGTGGTCCAGACTAGTGAGCATAAAGAAAGACAATATCTCAAAAACAGCCAACTCCAATTGAGCAACTTTCTTGAACGTTCAGAGTCCCAATTTCAATCCCCAATATTACTCCTCCCCAACCCCAAAAAAATAATCAAAGCAAAAACAGGTAGTTGAGTGACTCCAGTTGTAGAGCGCTTGCCTATCAAGTGCAATTCCCTGAGTTCAACCCCACAGTACTGCCAAAAATAAAATAAGTTTGTGTTTAGGATGTCTTCATATTATCTTACTTTACATTTGCAAACCTTTCAAAATACACAGTGTCTTTACTCCCATGAATTCTGCGTAAAGAATACATTTGTATGAAATTCCTAAATGAAATTAATTCATAGTAATGGTTTTAAAAATTTACATAGGGATTCAGGGTTGGTAGCAGGTACCTGTAATTTATGGTTGTCACAGGCTGATACACATGAGCCATGTGTTTGAGACCAGACTGAGTGATATACAGTCTGAGATGTGAACAGGTGATAACAGACATTCAGTGCTTGCAAAATAGGTACCTTGATACTGTGTTCCAAAACCCCTTCTTGTGTGTGTGTGGGGGGGATGTGCGTGTGTGTGTCTGTGTGTGTTTTAGAGATTTGTCACAGACTTTCATGGTTGCTAGGCAGGTGCTCGATCACCTGAGCTATGACCCTAATACCTGAGTAAGGTATTAACAAATTTCATGATTCAAATTTGTTAAGAGGGCATACAGCCAGTAATTTAAATAATAATCAAAATCTTAGTAATGTGCTTCTCTTTTTGCACAGATGTGAAGCAGTCAAGAGACCTTGTGAACCCTCAGAAGAGAGTCAGTGTGGACAAATCTGCACCTGGATTTCAGATCCTACAGTGAACAGGAAAACTCCCACTGGAGTAAAACCATGGGAAAGTCCTGTTTGTAGAGAAGTCCTCACTGGTGCTTCATCTTCAAATGTGGCTGTGACAGTTCATACTGAACAGCAATCATGCAAGTATGAGGAATATACAAAGAAGACCTATACATGTGAGGATTGTGGGAAAGCCTTCAGTCACCCTGAATGGTTTCTGAAACATGTAAGTACTCACAGTGGAGAGAAACTCTACAAATGTAAGCAATATGGAGAAGCTTTCAGCAGATATAACTATGTTCAGATACATGCAAAACTTCATGCTAGAGAGAAAGTGCATATGTGTAAGCAGTGTGGGAAAGGCTTCATGACTGTCACAGATTTTCATAGACATATGGTAACCCACCCTGGAGGAGCACCTTTCAAGTGTACAGTATGCAATAAAGTGTTTGGTCGAGCCCAGTCCCTTAAGAGACATAAACAAATTCATACTGGAGAGAAACCCTATAAATGCAAGGAATGTGCAAAAGGCTTTGTGAGTCACAATTCACTTCTAAAGCATAAAAGGATTCACAGTGGAGAAAAATACTATGAATGCAAGGAATGTGGGAAAGCCTTGTTGAGTCACAGTTCCCTTCTATGCCATAAAAGGATTCACAGTGGAGAGAAACCCTATGAATGTGAGGAATGTGGGAAAGCCTTTGTGAGTCACAGTTCACTTATATGCCATAAAAGGACTCACAGTGGAGAGAAACCTTATGAGTGCAAGCAATGTGGTAAAGCCTTTGCCGATCATAATTCTCTTCAGAAACATAAACGAGTTCACACTGGAGAGAAACCCTATGATTGCAAGGAATGTGGGAAAGTCTTTGCAGATCATAGTTCTCTTCAGAGACATAAACGAGTTCACACAGGAGAGAAACCCTATGAATGCAAGCAATGTGGGAAAGCCTTTTCTGATCATAGTAACTTTAAGAGACATGAACAAATTCACACCGGAGAGAAACCTTTTGAATGCAAGGAATGTGCAAAAGCCTTTGTGCGTCACAATTCACTTCTAAAGCATAAAAGGATTCACAGTGGAGAAAAACCCTATGAACGCAAGGAATGTGGGAAAACCTTTGCGCATCATAGTTCACTTCAGTGCCATATAGGGATTACAGTGGAGAGAAACCCTATGAATGCAGGCAATGTGGAAGGGCCTTGCATTCATTAAAATACCTTCAAATATATGAATGAAGTCACACTGGAGAGAACCCATATGTGTGTAAGCAATGTGGGAAAGCCTTCATTTATCCAAGTAGCTTTCGACGCCATGTACGAACTCACACTGGAAAGATACCTTATGTATGTAATCAGTGTGGGAAGACCTAAACTGATTTTGGTTCTCATAAATTACATGAAAGAATTCACACTGGAGAGAAAACCCTATGTATGGAAGACGTGGCAAGAACTTAATTTCTTCCAAGTCCTGTAGAAAAAATGCAATTACTTACATTGGGGAAATTGCCTATATTTATAGAACACTTAAATATCATCATCTTACTCGCAATCAAGAAAATGTATTGTGTGAGGAATTACATCAATATAAGTCCCTCCACAGATATACATGAACATACTCTGGCAACATGCCTTGATTACAAGAGATGGACAAGTGTCCTAATGGTACACATGTGAGATGTACTCTAGCCCAAAATTTGTGAGTGTGGAAAAGAAATTTCTCAGTGGCAATAAGTAATTTCAAAGTCCCATAAAAATTCCTCATTCAATTGACTGCTACAAATGTTAATGATATAAAGAGTTTCATTCAAAGTAATTTGTGTAGAAAAATAATTATTGAAGTGACATAATTATATTGAGGTTTAGACAATTGTGCATAAGTGTAATATCTTTAAGTCTTCTCCCCTCCCCTTTCCTATGCTCTCCTTGTATTAGACATTGAACACAACATAGGACCGTGTGCTAGTTAGGCAAGCACACCACCACTGTGCTATACCCATTACCCTTTTATTTCCTTTTGAGAATGTGTCTCACTAACTTCACCCAGGCAAGTGTCAAACTCACCATTCTGGTGTGTATACCTCTAATGAATTAACAGGTGTATGTCACTATGCCCAGAGACTTTAGTGTCTTAGAGTGTCAGATCCCTGGCCAAGACCAATCTGCAGAGAGTGATTGACATGAGAGTTCTGACAGAATTAGGACACTTCTCAGCAATCACTTTGCATATGTTATTATCCCTGACAACCTAAGAAATTCCCACTGAAGTGGGTGCTTATTCCTCACACCAGTTATCCTTTCTAGTTTGGTGGCTGATATCGGGAGGATTGAGATTTCAGGCCATCCTGAACAAATAGTTCTCAAGGTCCAGTCTCCTAAATAACCATACCAAAATTGACTGGAGGACTGGTTCAACCAATAAGTGTGCCTGCTTTGTAAGCATGGAGTCCTGAGTTCAAACTCATCCCTCTCCAAAAAATCCCTTAGAGTTCTTAAATTGTCATTTGATCCATGCAAGAATCTGTGTGCTCACCATGCATTTATTGAGGTCTGATGTCACAAATGCGGCTGGAGCCCAGGGCATTATTCTTCCTTCTTGGCTTCCTGGGCATTTCAAAGGTAGCTGCCACCACTCCTCTTCCCACCCTACCTGCTGATCCCTGTGCACACTTCTGGGAATGCACTCATCATGGCTGTTCTCTGGGCTGAGCACAGACTCCCACCCATGTCCCTCATCCTCTGCACCCTCTCCATCTCAGAGTTTTTCCTGCTGATCCAATCACCTCTTGCATGTTGGCCATCCTAGTGCCCTCTTCACTCCACCGTCCTGTGGCCTGTGATGAACACAGTTCCTTCTCCTTCACATTGTGATAATCTGACTTCAGCCTGCTCATGGTCATTGGGTGTGACTGTTGTGCGGCCATCTGCTACCCATACATTGCAGTGAGCATTGGCTTTGCCCCTCATGGGATCTGGACCAGGGCTGATGGCTCAACATAGGGATATTGTGACAATTTCTTTCCCCCTCATCTTCTGTGTGTCTAGTGAAGCCACCATTTTGTGTCCTGTTGCTTTTCCCTCTTCAATTTAGACGGTTGTGACCAGACAGCTTTTGTTCCCTCATGTGATCCTCATGTGTGTGTCCCTATCCCAGCAACAGACCTGAGTGCCCCAAGTTTCCTGATGGTGGAATTGGCATTTCCACTGTGTCCTGGTCCTGAGCCAGGCCTTCAGAGAACAGCAAGAAATCCCTTGTTTTCAGGGACTTCTCACATGGTCCTCATGGGAAAGGGAGCATGGGGGAGCAGAAGAAGAGATGCAGCTCTCTATGTCATAATTAGTGTCCTCCTTTCCTGTGTGTAGACAGTGTTTACAAAGGATATGCAGATGGCATCAGAACCTGACTGAGTGAAAAAGTGGGACAGCCCCAATTGCAAGGTCTGCAGGGTCTCAAGGGCAAGGCCGAGCAGGGCTGTGCTTTCTAGGGATGAGCGAACAGGAGAAAGAAAGGAGAGGAGGGTGATGGAGGGGAAGCATCAGTTCCTAGACAAAGGACATGTCCCTGAGGTTACCAGTCCTGTGTGTGACAGTAAAAATAGGGTTGTGTGCTGTCTAGACTGTGAGTGGTCAGAAATCAGAGACCTGTGGGAGGTGAGAAAGGTGAAGAATGTTTAGCCTTTGCCTGGTTTTGACTTAGATTGCAGGGTAAAGGGCAGGACACACCATCCAATTGCAGTGAGATGTTTCTTCTCACAGTAAGGAGACTCGGTTTCTTTTCTCATTCCTATTTACCAGGACAGTAAGGTTGAGTAAAATTGAACTGTCAGTGCTTTGGTGTTTCCACAGAGTTGCCAGAGTCAGTATGCAAGTTGTGCACACTGAGAAAATCTGAGTGTTGGGCACAGAAAGACAGGTTTGGGTTCTGCCAGTGGAACAAATGCTTTCTGAACTTCATAGTTTCTGCAGGTCTGTGGTATAATGGAAATATATTTGATCTCTTAGCCCTCTAACATGTGGGTCTGAGGTCCTAGAGACCTTGGAGTTTGCAGAGTGATAGGAATGCTTTTGGTTGTTCATAACCAACTCTTTTTCAGACAACACCTGAGTTCATGCTAATGACATTATACTGCAGACCCCTTGAGAGCTTCATGAGAGGGACTGGTTACCCTATGATGAAATCACATGCTTGGGACTGGCATCTGCAGTGGGGACAATGTGGGGAACTGAGCCCTGACCTTACAGGATCTGTTAACTCTGGGTGGTATCATAGTTGAATTGAAAACCCAGTTAAGTGATACAGAATTGGTTGATGATGAGCAAATACCATATGTTTTATATGTGAAGATATGTCAGAAATGATATTATAAGTCACAGTTTTAAAGTGGCTCCCAGTGAGTGTTTGGTCCTTGGTGAGAATTGAGAATTTGTGTGAAAAGGGAGAGGACAGTATGTGTGGGGGTCATAGAATGAACATTTCCTGGCTACTCAGGTCCCCTTTACTCACTATCCAGACTCTAGTCACCCAGACTACCCCTGCACAGCGAGAGAGGTCCCCATGCTTAGGAATGTTTTTCTTCCTTTGTTTGTGACAGGGTCTTCACTGTGTTTCAAGACTGACCTGCAACTCAGTGCTCCAGCCTGCCCCCATGGAGCTGGGATTACAGGCTCAGGAGGAACACATTTTATCTTCTGAATGTGGCTCCCTGTGATCTCTGAATGAAGCTGGCTGCTTCCTGAACTGCTTCCCTCTTGTTGCCTTGGTAGTATTGTTGTGCCATAACATTCCACTGTAGTGAAGAAGTTCAGAATTTTCTTCCATGACTTGCATGAAAGAGTTTAATTTTTTAGTTTGAAACTTCAGTGATGAGGAGACTTGGAGAAGCAAAGAGAATTCTTGAAATTGTTTCATGGCAAGTTTAAGTAAGAATGGAAGCAGCCATGAGTTACCCTCTAGATCAATATCTAGATTGATGTCATTTCTGCGATCTCTGGTCTCATCTTCCTCTATACCCAAAATTCTTAATTAATTCTTTTTTTTTCTTTTCAGAGACTAAAATATTTATTTATTTATTTATTTATTTATTATTGTTTATTCAATTATTCATATGTGCATACCCCCCTCACTTCCAGGCAGAACATGTTCTACCTTGTTCTTCAATTCTGTTGAAGAGAAAACAAGAGATAATAAGAAGGACATATCATTTTTGCTAGCTTGAGATAAAGATAGGTATACAGAGAGATTCGTAGCATTGCTTCCATTCACATGTGTAATTTGTTCATCTCTACCAGATCTCTTCACTACTTCCCGGTCACCTTCTCATAGTGGCCTCTGTCCAGTTTAAGATTATTCACTTCTTTACAGTGGCACATTAAACACTTTCAAGTTTCCTTATTCCTCTTGTATGCTTTCTCCCCTTAGCGTGTGACCCACATCCAATAATATTGCTGCATTTGTTTTAGGTCTATAGTCCACATATGGGGGAGAAAATATGATTTTTGGTCTTCTGAGTGTGGCTAACGTCACTTAAGATGATGTTCTCCAGTTCCATCCATTTACTTATGAATGACAAAATTTCATTCTTCTTTGTGGCTGAGTTAGATTCCATTGTGTATAAATGCTACATTTTCTTAATCCATTCCTCACTAGTGGGGCATCTTGGCTATTTCCATAACTTGGCTATTGTGACTAGTGCTGCAATAAAAATGAGTGTGCAGGTGCATTCCATTGGGTAAATCCTAGGAATGGTATTGCTGGATCATATGGCAGATGTTAGTTTAACTTAAAATTCCTTCAGAATTGTCATATATACGTATTATTGAAATAAGCTCATTTCTTACCTTATTCACAGTGTATACATTATAAAACAAATACTTCAAAACTATATTTAAGAATGACTTCCAGGCACCATGTGACATTTATTAAGTTCTCTCTTCCTTGTATCATTCCAAATTCTTGATGCTCTTTCTAGCTTTACCCCGTAGTTATCACAAGGCAGAGTTGATTTGCATTGCCTCTTTCAGATTTTCAAGAAGTCAAGAGTTCCATTCCTGTGCTATTAATACTGTGCTGAGAAACTTTCTCTGTGGTTCTTTGCTGCACAGGGGCTGCTTGCAGGGTGATATCTGCTCCACCAGATGGACTTGATTATCCCACACCTTGTGGGTTCACTCGTTTGATGTTTGTTTATTTATATATGAATTTATTTACTTATGTTTGGCTGTCCTGGGGTTTGAACTTAGGGCATTAGGTTTGCTTGATAGGCCTCTGAGTTTCTCGAGTGTGCAGTGTTTGTCTCTATTCTGCCATCCTTGAGCCAGCCTCTCCCATATATTTCTGCTTCTTATGTCATTTTCTTTGTCTGTTTGTTCATCCCAAAGGTATTTAAGTACTACTTGTCAAGGCAACCAAGTTTTATATTTCCACAGGGACTTTTTGTGTGTGTATAGTGGGACTGGGG